TATATTCTAATATTACGTATTAGATTTGGCTTTGTTGAAAAACAAAGCGTCCTCCTCCTTGCTTGCATTGGGGATTACTGAACGGATTTCAGCAGCCCAAGGTAGTCATTCAAAACGGTGGACCTTGTGGTAGCTACCGATATGCAGCGCCATCTATTGGAGAGTAGCCGCCACCAAAAAAATTCGTTCAGTTCGGCTACCATCCCATAGATGGCGCTTCTATGTAAAGTGCTATCACAGACCTCACAAAATTTAACTAGTCAAAAAGAACCTTTAGGGGCGGTCGGTCGGGGTTCGGGATGGGTTTATGGCAACGCATCCTCCAAGATCAAGAAACTTAAATTTCCGTGAGGGGGGTTAAAATCCCCCCATTTTTTGATGAAACTATGTTTAAGATTTGTTTATTATATTCTAATATTACGTATTAGATTTGGCTTTGTTGAAAAACAAAGCGTCCTCCTCCTTGCTTGCATTGGGGATTACTGAACGGATTTCAGCAGCCCAAGGTAGTCATTCAAAACGGTGGACCTTGTGGTAGCTACCGATATGCAGCGCCATCTATTGGAGAGTAGCCGCCACCAAAAAAAATTCGTTCAGTTCGGCTACCATCCCATAGATGGCGCTTCTATGTAAAGTGCTATCACAGACCTCACAAAATTTAACTAGTCAAAAAGAACCTTTAGGGGCGGTTGGTCGGGGTTCGGGATGGGTCTATGGCAACGCATCCTCCAAGATCAAGAAACTTAAATTTCCGTGAGGGGGGTTAAAATCCCCCCATTTTTTGATGAAACTATGTTTAAGATTTGTTTATTATATTCTAATATTACGTATTAGATTTGGCCTTGTTGAAAACAAAGCGTCCTCCTCCTTGCTTGCAGTGGGGATTACTGAACGGATTCCAGCAGCTCAAGGTAGTCATTCAAACGGTGGACCTTGTGGTAGCTACCGATATGCAGCGCCATCTATTGGAGAGTAGCCGCCACCAAAAAAAATTCGTTTAGTTGGGCTACCATCCCATAGATGGCGCTTCTATGTAAAGTGCTATCACAGACCTCACAAAATTTAACTAGTCAAAAAGAACCTTTAGGGGCGGTTGGTCGGGGTTCGGGATGGGTATATGGCAACGCATCCTCCATGATCAAGAAACTTAAATTTCCGTGAGGGGGTTAAAATCCCCCCATTTTTTGATGAAACTATGTTTAAGATTTGTTTATTATATTACGTATTAGATTTGGCTTTGTTGAAAAACAAAGCGTCCTCCTCCTTGCTTGCATGGGGATTACTGAACGGATTTCAGCAGCCCAAGGTAGTCATTCAAAACGGTGGACCTTGTGGTAGCTACCGATATGCAGCGCCATCTATTGGAGAGTAGCCGCCACCAAAAAAATTCGTTCAGTTCGGCTACCATCCCATAGATGGCGCTTCTATGTAAAGTGCTATCACAGACCTCACAAAATTTAACTAGTCAAAAAGATCCTTTAGGGGCGGTTGGTCGGGGTTCGGGATGGGTTTATGGCAACGCATCTATCCAAGATCAAGAAACTTAAATTTCCGTGAGGGGGGTTAAAATCCCCCCATTTTTTGATGAAACTATGTTTAATGGATTTGTTTATTATATTCTAATATTACGTATTAGATTTGGCTTTGTTCGAAAACAAAGCGTCCTCCTCCTTGCTTGCATTGGGGATTACTGAACGGATTTCAGCCAGCCAAGGTAGTCATTCAAAACGGTGGACCTTGTGGTAGCTACCGATATGCAGCGCCATCTATTGGAGAGTAGCCGCCACCAAAAAAAATTCGTTCAGTTCGGCTACCATCCCATAGATGGCGCTTCTATGTAAAGTGCTATCACAGACCTCACAAAATTTAACTAGTCAAAAAGAACCTTTAGGGGCGGTTGGTCGGGGTTCGGGATGGGTCTATGGCAACGCATCCTCCAAGATCAAGAAACTTAAATTTCCGTGAGGGGGGTTAAAATCCCCCCATTTTTTGATGAAACTATGTTTAAGATTTGTTTATTATATTCTAATATTACGTATTAGATTTGGCCTTGTTGAAAAACAAAGCGTCCTCCTCCTTGCTTGCAGTGGGGATTACTGAACGGATTCCAGCAGCTCAAGGTAGTCATTCAAAATGGTGGACCTTGTGGTAGCTACCGATATGCAGCGCCATCTATTGGAGAGTAGCCGCCACCAAAAAAAAATTCGTTTAGTTGGGCTACCATCCCATAGATGGCGCTTCTATGTAAAGTGCTATCACAGACCTCACAAAATTTAACTAGTCAAAAAGAACCTTTAGGGGCGGTTGGTCGGGGTTCGGGATGGGTATATGGCAACGCATCCTCCATGATCAAGAAACTTAAATTTCCGTGAGGGGGGTTAAAATCCCCCCATTTTTTGATGAAACTATGTTTAAGATTTGTTTATTATATTACGTATTAGATTTGGCTTTGTTGAAAAACAAAGCGTCCTCCTCCTTGCTTGCATTGGGGATTACTGAACGGATTTCAGCAGCCCAAGGTAGTCATTCAAAACGGTGGACCTTGTGGTAGCTACCGATATGCAGCGCCATCTATTGGAGAGTAGCCGCCACCAAAAAAATTCGTTCAGTTCGGCTACCACCCCATAGATGGCGCTTCTATGTAAAGTGCTATCACAGACCTCACAAAATTTAACTAGTCAAAAAGAACCTTTAGGGGCGGCCGGTCGGGGTTCGGGATGGGTCTATGGCAACGCATCCTCCAAGATCAAGAAACTTAAATTTCCGTGAGGGGGGTTAAAATCCCCCCATTTTTTGATGAAACTATGTTTAAGATTTGTTTATTATATTCTGATATTACGTATTAGATTTGGCTTTGTTGAAAAACAAAGCATCCTCCTCCTTGCTTGCATTGGGGATTACTGAACGGATTTCAGCAGCCCAAGGTAGTCATTCAAAACGGTGGACCTTGTGGTAGCTACCGATATGCAGCGCCATCTATTGGAGAGTAGCCGCCACCAAAAAAATTCGTTCAGTTCGGCTACCACCCCATAGATGGCGCTTCTATGTAAAGTGCTATCACAGACCTCACAAAATTTAACTAGTCAAAAAGAACCTTTAGGGGCGGCCGGTCGGGGTTCGGGATGGGTCTATGGCAACGCATCCTCCAAGATCAAGAAACTTAAATTTCCGTGAGGGGGGTTAAAATCCCCCCATTTTTTGATGAAACTATGTTTAAGATTTGTTTATTATATTCTGATATTACGTATTAGATTTGGCTTTGTTGAAAAACAAAGCATCCTCCTCCTTGCTTGCATTGGGGATTACTGAACGGATTTCAGCAGCCCAAGGTAGTCATTCAAAACGGTGGACCTTGTGGTAGCTACCGATATGCAGCGCCATCTATTGGAGAGTAGCCGCCACAAAAAAAAATTCGTTCAGTTCGGCTACCATCCCATAGATGGCGCTTCTATGTAAAGTGCTATCACAGACCTCACAAAATTTAACTAGTCAAAAAGAACCTTTAGGGGCGGTTGGTCGGGGTTCGGGATGGGTCTATGGCAACGCATCCTCCAAGATCAAGAAACTTAAATTTCCGTGAGGGGGGTTAAAATCCCCCCATTTTTTGATGAAACTATGTTTAAGATTTGTTTATTATATTCTAATATTACGTATTAGATTTGGCCTTGTTGAAAAACAAAGCGTCCTCCTCCTTGCTTGCAGTGGGGATTACTGAACGGATTCCAGCAGCTCAAGGTAGTCATTCAAAACGGTGGACCTTGTGGTAGCTACCGATATGCAGCGCCATCTATTGGAGAGTAGCCGCCACCAAAAAAAATTCGTTTAGTTGGGCTACCATCCCATAGATGGCGCTTCTATGTAAAGTGCTATCACAGACCTCACAAAATTTAACTAGTCAAAAAGATCCTTTAGGGGAGGCTGGTCGGGGTTCGGGATGGGTATATGGCAACGAATCTTCAATGATCAAGGATCTTAAATTTCCGTGAGGGGGGTTAAAATCCCCCCATTTTTTGATTGAATTAGTTTATTATATTCTAATATTACGTATTAGATTTGGCTTTGTTGAAAAACAAAGCGTCCTCCTTGCTTGCATTGGGGTTCACTGAACCGATTTCACCAGCCCAAGGTAGTCATTCAAAATGGTGGACCTTGTGGTAGCTACCGATATGCAGCGCCATCTACTGGAGAGTAGCCGAACAAAAAATATATTCTTCCGTAGCCTTTCTTGGATGATCTTAAGCTAATTCTGTGCATTTTCAACTACGCAAAAAAATTCGTTCGTCAACGCACCTCTTAAATTTCCGTGACGAGGATCCCCCATTTTTTGACGAAAAGATTATTTTGTTTTGATTAGTTTATACTTTAATGTTACGTATTCAACAATTCAAACTTTTTTCCACCACGAAAGACGTTGCCAGATTTCCTGTGTTGCGCCTTGTCAGGTCACACGTCACAGTTGACCCCACATGGGTGAACGGGCTTTAGCAGCCCAAGGTAGTCATTCAAAATGATGGACTTTGTGATAGCTACTCATATGCAGCGCCATCTATTGGAGCGTAGCTGAATAATAAATACATGGTGTCCCGAAAAAGGTGTGCAATATTCTACCAGCGGTTTCTAGAGCTTAAAATAGGAAGAAACGTTTATATAAACATAGGTCGACAAACGTCCCCTAAGGGCGCTACGGTCTTTTAAAAGGGCTCCCCTGAAGATGGTTTTTGATTAATATTTCCGAAACGTGTTTTGGAATCCTAGCCTAGTTTTTTATGCTGGATTTAAAAATATTAACAATTTTAGACAGTTTTGTTTGAAAGTGCGTGTAACAGGGACGGACTCAGGTTATCTGAGCCCCAAAATTTTTGTGTGATTCTATTTTTGAAATTCAATTTCAGAATTTGAAAATTTAGGGTTTTCTACATAAAAAAGGTACTCTTGTTATTATATTACTCGTAGATATGGAATTATCTGCTCTCGGAATAAAAAGAAATACACGATTTGACCTATCACATATATTTCACACTTACATGTCATTTCAAAAAATATTAAACTTTTCAAGTATTATTAAACATACATTCAGACTGGTTCAATAATCTTGACATAGTACGTCTACATTGAAAGGGAATAAAATAAAGATGAAAAACATTCTAGATATATATATTTCAGGTTTTTAAAACTTAAATAAAGAAAATGAGAAAAATAACAAAATATAAAATTATTACAATACGTTTGTACTTGGGATAATATACACTTCAAGTGTATTGCACCAATGTATAAAATAAAAGCTAATAGAATACACGCGTTCTATTAGTTGGGTTTAAAAGAAAAAAAAAACGTATTCTTTCAGCTCCCAAAAAGTTTTTTTTTGCTCATCATGCCTTAGAGTCTACCTGGCAACGAGATGCAAGATCGGCTAATGGTAGATTTCCCAATACATGGGTGTCAAAGATGATATGCAATATATTGTTTCTGATACATCTACTGGTTGTATTCAGGGCTAGAATTTGACTGGAAGGATCGGGGCCACAAACCTTGTACGAAGGCTCAAGATTTCTTGAAAATATTTATTGTTTCTTAAAAGTATCGGGTTTTCCAATAGGGACTTAACTTTGAACTTTCACCGTGAACGCAACGCAAAGAAAACATTTTCTTCATGGTGAACGAACAACGCTTACAAATAATTAAAATTTCGTACCGAAAGGTGCATCTGATGCACATATGGACGATACATAAATTTTTCAATCCAACAAAAAAATTTCCGAGATGTCTCAAATGATTTTCGTTTTATTTAAAAAGAAAGTTGTCAAGCCCTTAATGCAATGCCGTTTTAAATAAAGCATATTAAATAGACCAAAACTTTTATAAGCAACTGGAATTAATCCAAAAGGAGTCTATTCAAATACAGTTCTTGTCCTAGTGTCTGTTTTTGTGTCTTAAGGTGTAAAATAAACGCCGAAATGTTGGGAATCGAAACACCAGCTTTTTATCCCAAGAATCCGATGAAATCAAAAGTTTATTTAAGTTTGAACCCCGGGCCGCCCGGTTCCTAAAATTCTTAGTTTTCTGTAAAAGCACCGAAAAGTAAATTTTTCAGGGACTCCTGATTTTGCTAGGCGCTGTCACAATACACCTTTTGCAAAATTGGATGGTGTGGCAAAAATATTATTGACAAATATTGCAAGATTTCTGAGACACGACATGTACTTTGTAGTATTTGAAGCTCCATAATATTATTCATTATGGCACAATTTTCTTCAACACAAGATAAATCAGCAACTTAAAAAATAATATGCGTTATAATATCATAGTTTTAGTAAGCTCTAGCCATTATCTAGAATGTTTTTTAAAGGCAAATCATAATACCAGGTATAGGCCTGCAATGAAAATACGCAGCTCACAAAAATGTACTTTTGAGTCACTGATATAATTAAATTTTTGTATCATCCCATAGGGACCTGTATACAATGTTCCTTGGAACCTTACATATCAGAAATACTACTTGAACAAATGGCTAATTTTCTCCTTTCACGTATATACATCATTCAATTTTACAGTATAATATAAATGTTGTTTGTGTATACCTGATGAAGAGAATTGCCTTAGAAATTTGTCTTACTACCCAACCTTTGCCACATGAAGTACTGTCTGTATTTTCACTTATCATCGTCAAAGCGGAATGTACTGCAATAGTAATTTGACCTTTCAAATGCCATTATATCCAAAGTCAAAACGTTCATTTTACAAAATTTAAACACGTCCACTGCAAGTCTAACGTGTTTGCCTACATATCTCGGTATATAAGTATTAAGCAAAAATAAATTGCTGTTTGTTAGGTGGTGAAATTCAATGATGCTAAATGTCCTCAATTAGTTTTTTGTTAACAAACATAAGTACGGCTCAGAAATTGTGCGAGAATATTCCTCTTTTATGGAAAAATGAAACGAGTGATTACTTTGATTTCCTTGAAGCCTCGTCTTGCAGCAAGTTGAGTGTTCGAGAAAAGCAAAGATGTTTCGAAAAGGAAAAGTGATAAGAACAAAAGGAATCACTTGTTTCATTCCTCCATAACACAGGAATATTCACACACAATTTCAGAGCTGTACTTATGTTTGTCCCGATTGAAGAAAAAAATTCATTTTTTGACAAAAACATTGATTTGTACACACCATGAAATTATCAGATGAAAAAGATTTAGAATACTGCTGAAAAAGGGACGTGTCACCTTAAGGTACACTGACAAATATCGAATGATGACCATAAAGTAAGGATTTGAAATTGATTTGAATTGTATACCAAAAGACGTATTTAAATAATGACTATGTCGTAGGCAAAAAAAATATGAAAAATAAGTGTTATACAGCCTACATATCTCCGGAGACAGAGTACTTTACGCCCTTTTTCCAATATGAAGAACAATTTTGTTTAAAATAGCTTTTTTTATACTGAACATCACATCTAGCAAATACGTTCTGGAATACTTTTAATGGCAATTCACTTCACTATAATAGACAAATTTGTCCATAGTATTATACGCAGTGAATCAAAATATATAAACATGAAATTATGATCCCAATTCGATCAAATGAATAGCAAGGTTTATAATCGAAATTCGTAACGTGGAGACATCTAATTTTTGGTCAAATATAGATGGTACCCAATCATTGACTTTACCTGCTCATTGTAAATAATTATGGTGAAATTATCAAGAACACCTTGTTTTCCATAATGATGCTACAAACATCAGCAAACATTTTTAAAAAACTATGCAATAAATAATTTATATACCAAATATTGGTTTTGAACGCATTTGTTGCATCAATCTGTGATATTTTTCAAAATATAGAAATGATAATATGTATAGAAACTAAGTTCTGCAATATTCTAGCAAATTTCCATACCACATTGGGGCAGAAGAAATTTTGTTACATTCAATAACATTTCAGAGAAAGTTATATCAAGCATATTTCTAAAGATTAGGTACCATTTGGAACCCTATCTATTCTAATTTTCTATCATATTAGTGCTTTGCATGGAGTAGAAAACATTACAGATATACCATACTTAATGCCATGCATACAAAGTGTTGATAATTTTAATACCCTATCCAACAATATCCTGGACACGCGAGATTCTACGTCACTGGGATAAAATTTGTCTTTTTATAGAAAGTTTACAGCAAAAATAGCCAGATAGAGCTGTAACAGGTGTGAGATACGCCGAGGTTAAATTTGGCCGACGTCGTAACGTGTACGAGAGAAAATCGTGCAATATGTAACACAGGGTGCTATAAAAGTTTGCGATGACCGCATATTGAGACGCGTCCATGAGTGCATAGTAGCCGCAAGGCGCACGTCTGTTGATTTAATTGTTCATTCGTATCGTGGTGACGTAGAGCAGCCAAAGGTGCAATTTCACTTTGGAGGACGCTCAAAACAAAGTTTGGGTCTTTGATGAGGACACACCCGCAGCTGTCAAAAAATCCCGATCTTTCAAGAGAAAAATGATAGCTGCATTTTTCAAATCGAGAGGGATAGTCACAGCTAAGTGATACACGGAACAATGCTTAGTGACTTTGAAGGAAGTCAATAAATAAAGCAGTATTGCAAAACTTTTATACCCTTTGTAGTTTTCAACTATCCTGAAATTTAACGTTCAACTGTCAAAATGATAATGGGTGTCCTTTCTTTAGCATCAATCGCCTAGGGAGAAAAAACTCCGTCTGACTGGAGGATTGTGATTAATAATGGGCATTTCTCAGGTTAGTAGAAATACTAATTTTACAGAAAATTAATCGTGATTCCGCTGGCCAAACCCGTGTTGAAACAAAAGCCAAGTAATAGAATCTAATTTTACCTTGTAAAATTAATGTCTCAAATGCCACGTTATGTATTTCAGTACCGGTAATGAGCGTATGGAAAGGGCAGTGAACTATCAACAGATTGCATACCACTTACTAGATGTATCATAGCACACAAAATAGTTTTTATAAGTACGCGTTTTAGCTCATCTTTAGTTCACTATCACAGTCATTCAGACCTGGCGATTTAGGCAGAAATGTCCGAAAAAGTTCAACCAGTCCTTGACAGATATAAATTTATATATAATACGCATCTGAATAAAAATTTGTTAATTGTCCTTCACAAATATCAGCATCACAATGAAACATATAATGGGAATATAAAAAGTCACAGCAGCTCAAAAATTATCACAAAACAATTCGCTCAAGTAACATACATGGAATTCTCGCGGTTCATGTAGTTGCTATTGTAGGCCAAAATCGGGTAAGCCAACACCGTATTCAGCAGATCATTATGGATTTCCAACGAATTCGTAGCATAATGCAAAACCAAATCTTTCAAAGACGGATAAATATTGTACGGTTCTGTAAATCCCAAACCTTTTGGTGTTTCATTTATGATGCAATGGTTTGGACTTCCGTTGCATACGACAGAAAGGGCGTACTTGTTTTGCTGTCTGGATTTCCTGACCAAAAAAGTACCATCCGGTTTACCTTCTAGCAACCTTTGGGCGTCCTCCCTGGAACAGTTCAACATCAACCAGGTGTGTTCATCATTATGTGGTAACGCGTCGATGTCAACCTCGCAATCTTCGGAGTTGTCATCGACGTGCTTATGCAGAATCTGATTGATTTTTGTTGCTGAATATCCTCTCATTTGCAACCACCTAATGTGCTTGTCTCTCTCGCGCAGCAAATTGTGTATCTCAGGCTTGAGCGCGGTCAGTTCCCTTTCTAATACTTTCTTGTACGCTTCCTTTTGCTTCAAAATTTCCTCCAACTGCTCGCAACTTTCCGACATCAAAGCTAAGCGCTTCTTCAACAGTTCATAGTTGAATTCGAGACTTTTTATCTCGTGAGGCTGGGCTTCGCTCTGAATCTTCTCTTGGATAATAGTTTGATCTCTGAATACTTGCACGAGTTCTTTCAATGCATCCAACGCGTGCCTTTTCGTTTGGACTTCCGTGGATGTTTCGTTGAAGTCCTTGGATACGCCTTCTGAAAATTTGTTTTTCTTCGCCAATGTTTTGTTGATCAGTATCAATTTTTCGACCAGCTTTTCGACTTTCTCGGATTTGGCTAGCTCTTCCTCTTGGTTGTTCCTGGATAGCGGATACATGAGCTTGATGTCCAAAGAAGCGTTGTACTGAGATAAAGAATCGTTGCGGAAATGTTCAATCAGTTCGACGACAGACTGGAAGGTATATGGTTCTGTAAAACCGTACATGCCGTTTCTGTGGCAAATTTTTATCAGCTTATTCGCGCCGCCTTTGCGCAAAGTAAGCGTATATTCGCCGCACTTGTTAGAGGCGTCTCGTACCAAGAATGTACCGTCAACGGTATCAGCCAGCACCTCATTCACTTCCTCCCGCTTGATGTCGCCCCAGTACCATTCGGCGTCTTGGAGCGACACTGGTACCGCAGGTTTCTCCTTCTCCCTTTCCACCATGCTGTGGTAAACGGTTCCGCTGGCACCAGCGGAGGTGGCTCCGGTACCGCCCATCAGCGATACCTTCCTCGGGGGTATGGCGGGGGCTGACGCAAACTCGGGAAGTGTCTCCCCCCAATCACAGTAAAGTAGCAGTAGTTCCACGATTCGGTTGTGCGCCTGGGTGTTGTAAACCACTTGGCTGAAAAAGAGAAATAAACGCAAATTAATACAGTGATTTATCTACTTCTTTTCAGAAAATTTCCGACTCGCTTTTCTTTTATATTCACGGTTCTTGGTTACATCGTAACATCAATCAAGAGGTTGCTTATGCTGTTCGTAATGTAAAAAAGTTCAGATCAACAACGTCGTCCACTCCAGAAATATTTTCCTGATTCCGAAATTATGACATCCTTATGTTATTTGTGGCGTACTTTCTGTCTTTTTAATATTGACACTGCTTTGTATTCGTTCACTCCAAGAGTAAATTTTCAACAGCTTATCTGCACCGTTACGAGATAAATGCGACGATAAAAAAATCTTGACGTATGTTGTGGATTTCGCAGACATTTTCCTTGTAAATCAAATACTTACATAATTCGTTCCCATGGCGGCCTCAAGAATATGTGGCACATAACTTGCACCAGAACTGTAGGCGGACTTTTATTCCCTCTGGCGTATTCCAGCTGACAAATTCTGCACAAATGGCCCATAATGAACTTCAACGTCGACTTGTGGTGATCCGGCAATTCCTCTACCAAATGCCTCAGAATCGACGTGCATTCTTCGTCGTTTTTCTTTTTGTTAGCCTCCAAAAACTTGTCGTACCTGGAACACACGAGAATGCATTGAAAATTATTAGTCGAAAAAACTGTCATTTGCAAATAAACTAGCTTTAATGGGCTTTTTGGGGATTTCATTTAGTATTTGAGTTTACAAGATTGCAATATCGAATAACCTTACTAGTTTTAATGGGCTTTTTGGGGATTTCATTTAGCATTCGAGTTTTACAGGATTAAAATATCGAATAACCTTACTAGTTTTAATAGGATTTTTGGGGATTTCATTTAGCATTTGGGTTTACAAGATTGACATATCGAATAACCTTACTAGTTTTGATGGGCTTTTTGGGGATTTCACTTACCATTTGAGTTTACAAGATTGCAATATCGAATAACCTTACTAGTTTTAATAGGATTTTTGGGGATTTCATTTAGCATTTGGGTTTACAAGATTGAAATATCGAATAACCTTACTAGTTTTGATGGGCTTTTTGGGGATTTCACTTAGCATTTGAGTTTACAAGATTGCAATATCGAATAACCTTACTAGTTTTAATGGCCTTTTTGGCGATTTCATTTAGCATTCGAGTTTTACAAGATTGCAATACCGAAAAACCTTACTAGTTTTAATGGGCTTTTTGGGGATTTCATTTAGCATTTCAGTTTTACAAGATTGAAATATCGAACAACCTTCCTAGTTATAATGGGCTTTTGAGGGATTTCATTTAGCATTCGAGTTTTACAAGAATGAAATATCGAATAATCTTCACAGTTTATCGGATCTGGATGAAATTTGGCACATAGACAGCTTGTAAGTGTGGCAAAGCACATAGGCTGCATTTTATTCCGGGAAATATCTTAAGTTGCTTGCTTAATCTGATATGACATGTATCTGGTGCAGAAACACTCAGTCGCTGGTCTGACCGAACGAGTATATAAATAGAATATTTGCATCGTCCATTTACTGCATTAATTTTCTTTTCGTGGTCGTCTTGATTTAGATTTGTGTGGTGCCTTGTTTCACTCCCAGAATACAACTGTGAATAAATACATGCCACACAGGGTGTGAGATACCTCGCTTTATTGTGATTATAACTACACATATGATAAGTTATTGCTGAATTAAAAATGACCATTGACAAAATAACTACTTCGTTACTCTGAATATTGCATTTCTTTCTCCAAAATCAATCTCTTGTGCCCTAATTGCATTATGAATGAGCTGTAAAATACTTCCACTGTAGCGGAGCCGCGGGTATACGCTAGCTGATATTAATGAAAAAACAACCTTAAAAACTGTTTTTGACTTAAGCTGTTTAAATGGAGTCAAGAGGACAAAATAATCACATTACTTCATGTATTCGAAAATCAGTCACAGACTTATTTATGCAATGAACGTCCATTGACCCATCGGCCTTTAACGAGTTTTCAAAAAAAGGAAATATGCGACTAAAGTTGTTTTTGAAACGAATGATTTCTTTACCATACTTTAATTAATGCAATATATGTAAATTCTTCAGTCTAAGAAAGTGCTATAGTCCGAGGCAGCGATGCTTTGATCAGATAACGGATTGAAACGTGAAAATACCTTTCTAATGATTTATCGCTATCGGTTGTACCTAAAACCATGCATTTTGTATTGCTAAACGACAGTGATACTATTAATAATTATAAACACGTTTTGTTGGAAACCACTGCGAGAATTGCTGAACTGTACGCGTAACGGGAAACGTTTTTTTCGCAAGAAGAGCATTTTTCATAATTTTGCGACGTAATAACCAGGCGAAAATTGCGAACTTTATACTGGTGTGAACGTCTACAATTTCAACCTTGAAAAACTATCAAGTTTGCTAAATTCTGTACAACCGCGGATAACAAAGTGAGTCTCAGGTGAACAATTTGATTTTCGCAAATTTAGCATTCAACGCATTATTGAAAAAAATATGAAAGCTTCAATCTAAAAACAGGTTACATCCATTCGAATAATTTTTTCGAAACCCTGTGTTTGACGAAATTTTGTTTTAGGTATACAGGGTGTTTGGTACTAGTTCAATTTCTTTTCATTTTGCAGGATTTCCTGAGGCCCAACTGAGTTACAGAAATCTCCTCTATGATCTTTAAGGCAACCCCAATAAAATAAATCCAATGGATTTAGGTCTGGAGATCTGGCTGGCCAATGGACAGAACCCAGACGTCCAATCCACTTTCATTGACTGAGTTCAACAAAGCATTTTTTGAGCTCGATACAAAGTTCCACACAGCAAAATCATAAACAACGAGTAATTATCGGAGTAACGTCAAGTAATTTGACTAGGAATTTCATGGTAATTCCAGAAGACTAGTAGGCCATCCCATAGATGGCGCTTCTATGTAAAGTGCTATCACAGACCTCACAAAATTTAACTAGTCAAAAAGAACCTTTAGGGGCGGTTGGTCGGGGTTCGGGATGGGTCTATGGCAACGCATCCTCCAAGATCAAGAAACTTAAATTTCCGTGAGGGGGGTTAAAATCCCCCCATTTTTTGATGAAACTATGTTTAAGATTTGTTTATTATATTCTAATATTACGTATTAGATTTGGCCTTGTTGAAAAACAAAGCGTCCTCCTCCTTGCTTGCAGTGGGGATTACTGAACGGATTCCAGCAGCTCAAGGTAGTCATTCAAAATGGTGGACCTTGTGGTAGCTACCGATATGCAGCGCCATCTATTGGAGAGTAGCCGCCACCAAAAAAAAATTCGTTTAGTTGGGCTACCATCCCATAGATGGCGCTTCTATGTAAAGTGCTATCACAGACCTCACAAAATTTAACTAGTCAAAAAGAACCTTTAGGGGCGGTTGGTCGGGGTTCGGGATGGGTATATGGCAACGCATCCTCCATGATCAAGAAACTTAAATTTCCGTGAGGGGGGTTAAAATCCCCCCATTTTTTGATGAAACTATGTTTAAGATTTGTTTATTATATTACGTATTAGATTTGGCTTTGTTGAAAAACAAAGCGTCCTCCTCCTTGCTTGCATTGGGGATTACTGAACGGATTTCAGCAGCCCAAGGTAGTCATTCAAAACGGTGGACCTTGTGGTAGCTACCGATATGCAGCGCCATCTATTGGAGAGTAGCCGCCACCAAAAAAATTCGTTCAGTTCGGCTACCACCCCATAGATGGCGCTTCTATGTAAAGTGCTATCACAGACCTCACAAAATTTAACTAGTCAAAAAGAACCTTTAGGGGCGGCCGGTCGGGGTTCGGGATGGGTCTATGGCAACGCATCCTCCAAGATCAAGAAACTTAAATTTCCGTGAGGGGGGTTAAAATCCCCCCATTTTTTGATGAAACTATGTTTAAGATTTGTTTATTATATTCTGATATTACGTATTAGATTTGGCTTTGTTGAAAAACAAAGCATCCTCCTCCTTGCTTGCATTGGGGATTACTGAACGGATTTCAGCAGCCCAAGGTAGTCATTCAAAACGGTGGACCTTGTGGTAGCTACCGATATGCAGCGCCATCTATTGGAGAGTAGCCGCCACCAAAAAAATTCGTTCAGTTCGGCTACCACCCCATAGATGGCGCTTCTATGTAAAGTGCTATCACAGACCTCACAAAATTTAACTAGTCAAAAAGAACCTTTAGGGGCGGCCGGTCGGGGTTCGGGATGGGTCTATGGCAACGCATCCTCCAAGATCAAGAAACTTAAATTTCCGTGAGGGGGGTTAAAATCCCCCCATTTTTTGATGAAACTATGTTTAAGATTTGTTTATTATATTCTGATATTACGTATTAGATTTGGCTTTGTTGAAAAACAAAGCATCCTCCTCCTTGCTTGCATTGGGGATTACTGAACGGATTTCAGCAGCCCAAGGTAGTCATTCAAAACGGTGGACCTTGTGGTAGCTACCGATATGCAGCGCCATCTATTGGAGAGTAGCCGCCACAAAAAAAAAATTCGTTCAGTTCGGCTACCATCCCATAGATGGCGCTTCTATGTAAAGTGCTATCACAGACCTCACAAAATTTAACTAGTCAAAAAGAACCTTTAGGGGCGGTTGGTCGGGGTTCGGGATGGGTCTATGGCAACGCATCCTCCAAGATCAAGAAACTTAAATTTCCGTGAGGGGGGTTAAAATCCCCCCATTTTTTGATGAAACTATGTTTAAGATTTGTTTATTATATTCTAATATTACGTATTAGATTTGGCCTTGTTGAAAAACAAAGCGTCCTCCTCCTTGCTTGCAGTGGGGATTACTGAACGGATTCCAGCAGCTCAAGGTAGTCATTCAAAACGGTGGACCTTGTGGTAGCTACCGATATGCAGCGCCATCTATTGGAGAGTAGCCGCCACCAAAAAAAAATTCGTTTAGTTGGGCTACCATCCCATAGATGGCGCTTCTATGTAAAGTGCTATCACAGACCTCACAAAATTTAACTAGTCAAAAAGAACCTTTAGGGGCGGTTGGTCGGGGTTCGGGATGGGTATATGGCAACGCATCCTCCATGATCAAGAAACTTAAATTTCCGTGAGGGGGGTTAAAATCCCCCCATTTTTTGATGAAACTATGTTTAAGATTTGTTTATTATATTACGTATTAGATTTGGCTTTGTTGAAAAACAAAGCGTCCTCCTCCTTGCTTGCAGTGGGGATTACTGAACGGATTTTAGCAGCCCAAGGTAGTCATTCAAAACGGTGGACCTTGTGGTAGCTACCGATATGCAGCGCCATCTATTGGAGAGTAGCCGCCACCAAAAAAATTCGATCAGTTGGGCTACCATCCCATAGATGGCGCTTCTATGTAAAGTGCTATCACAGACCTCACAAAATTTAACTAGTCAAAAAGAACCTTTAGGGGCGGTTGGTCGGGGTTCGGGATGGGTTTATGGCAACGCATCCTCCAAGATCAAGAAACTTAAATTTCCGTGAGGGGGGTTAAAATCCCCCCACTTTTTGATGAAACTATGTTTAAGATTTGTTTATTATATTCTAATATTACGTATTAGATTTGGCCTTGTTGAAAAACAAAGCGTCCTCCTCCTTGCTTGCAGTGGGGAT